AGCTTAACAAAATATCAATATAGTATTTTTAAATTTACTATAAATCAATCATTGCTTTAGAACAATTGTCAGTATGTTTAAAGAAATATTAAACAGCCGCCCACTAAAAAAACCCAAACCCTCCAAACCTGCCATCTGCTATGCTTTCACCCTTGTTACTAGAGTTATCAGATTTTATGAAGCAATCTTTCATGCACATCAAAATGAATCAAAATGCAAGTAATGAATACATAAGCACAGAGGCAGTTGCTGTATAGGCAAAAGGAAAATAGAACTTAAAGCAGCTCTTCCCAGTGCTTGCAGTGCAGTTGACTTGCTGTGTGTACAGAAATAAATACCTCTGTATCTGTACATATATGTATACATATATAAAATTTATACAGTAGCAATGTAGTTTCCCAGCTTCAAAAGACTTCGTGTTTCCTTACCTGTGAGGAGTAAATGTAGTCTGGCAGCTCCATTGCTAACACGTCCTGTTCTGTGTTGTGCTGTGCTTGAGCTTTGGCTGGCATGAAGGTTAGATGGTGTCTGGAAACCCCATTCCAGGGTAAAAGTGCTGGGTGAATTTGTGCCTGCCGCAGTTTGTTGTTATTATTCTAATTTTTCATGTTAATAGCAGCTATGCCAAAAGATAGCCTTTATCATGCTCTATTTTCTCCTTTCCTGCACTGAATTTTCAAAACTTATGCATTTATGCATTTAAGCCAACATCACGTAATTGGCAACAGAGCCACTTAGATGCGATGTGAGTGAATCGCTATAGTCAGACAGCAGGTGTAGTTCAAAACTCCCAAAGCAGGAGGTGAGTGTCCCAGAAGTGTTTTTCACCAGTTTATCAATTAATTTGCAGCTCAGCAGTTCCCTTTTGCAGCTCTGTTGGCATTTTGTTGAACTAAAGGCTTTTTTTTTCTTTACTGTCATTTAAGTTCTTCAGCTTTTGATTTGATTTAATCAGATCCATCAGCTTACTTTCAAAACTATGCAAGAGTCCCAGTGCAGAGCCATGTACAGGCATGTTAAATCCATTTTTCATGTAACTCTACTATGCATAATTGTAGGTATGATAAAGTTTGTGTTATCGTCATATACTAATGTCACTTCTGCTACCCCACTACATTCCTTTTTCTCTTATTTTATCTCGCTACAGCCTTCAGCTGGTTCTACCAGGGCTTGCATCATGTGAGAAATACATAAAATCAGCTTTTCTCTGAAATATTTAAGCTCTGTACAAAAACATTGTCTCTTCATGGAAGTTTTAGCAGTTTTATTATAATAGATTTAAGTCTTGATAGGTTGTAATTCAGTGACTGAGCACTTGTCTGCATAATGGTCCAATCCACCTTTCTGTTGTTATTGCATCCTTTCTCACAGAAGAAGAGACATATAACAATACTGGTCACTTGTCTGCGGGTATTATTATAAAAGAGGCTTAACAATGAAAGTGGGACTAACAATGAAAATGAAGTAATCAAATCCAGCTTTACAATACAGATGCTGTTTAGTAAATTTCTAAGTTCAGTCTCAAACCAGTAACTTAAAGAATTGATTTGGCATAGGGGTTCTAGTTTTTTGGTTTGCACAGTGAGCATTGGCCATGTACAAATAAATGTCCTTGCTAACCACAATGTTGTTGCCTTGCACCAATCTGAGAGGAAAAAAAAAAGAACAGAAATAGTAGCTTTGGCAATACATTTCACTAGTGAAAGCTAAGCATATCAGTCTTTGCTAAGAAGTGTGATTGCGATCCCTGTTCTACCTTCATTTGCTCAATTTCATTTCTGTTTTCCTTCGGGCATCATTTGAGTACTTAATTTATCTCCAGGACTCCATTGGACTATTTGTATAGCAGACAAATTATTTGTCAGATAGCTTTTTATGGGAGCCTTTCTCTTACTACTCTCAAGTTACTTCCCTGTAGGCTTTTTATATTCATTTTAGAAGGTCCCAGGGGCCAACAAAGTGCTGTGGGCTTGAGGCTGACTTCCTTACTGCTTTCCTTGCCTGTGAAGAAGCTCTCTAGGAGAAGCCTAATCTTCTAAAAGAAAACTCCCAGCTCACTGAAGGTGTGGTTCCCTCACCCTTCTGCCAGTAATAAAATTTGCAACTTCACAGCATCCAAAAAGAGAGCATAGAATCCTTGAACTGGGTACCAATTTGTTACTTGTGACTTGAGCTCAGAGATCTTGACACTTATTGGGCTGATTCATCACACATAATCAAAATAATTTACTGAATGCATGGACAGTAAGTGGTATCTTAGAGCAAAGACAAATTTCTGCTCTCTTGCTGGGAGATTCAGAGAGGGGGGGGGAGCTGAAAGCTATTGCTGTGACCAACACAGACACCTGCGTGCTTGCTGCATTTAAATAAGTGCATCTATATTTAGTCTGTAATAACTTAGTTACCACGCAGCCTCCACTTTAAAAGGTTTTCTGCTCTGTCAGGTAACAGAACCAGCTGCACAGCTCTGTGAGGTACTGTCTGGGCTCAAGTTCAAGGAGCTAAAGCTTGCATCAGATAGGAGCATGAACACTGTTCATCTGGAATGCAGCTCCTGCTGCTGATGCCATTGACATCACCGGGTGAGGGTTTTGGCCCCTCTAGATTTGAGACACTGCCAAATACTGTCAGATCAGTAAATAAAAGCAAATAATACATGGTAGAAGAAAAGGGGTGTCTGAGTGAAAATTAACTTCTTAAAGAGACCTTACTGTAGTCAAGAGATTATTCTTTTGCACTGCAAGACTGTACAGGCCCGAGGCCAATATATTCTGAGGAAGAGGGGGAACTGTGGCTCAGATTATCAATGTGGAGAAGTCCTTTTCTTCTTTCATACTAGTAGGATTTCTCTGAAATCATCCTTGGAGAATTTTGCTGTCTGAGAGATGACCTTTCCTTTCTGAAGTGTCCTTTGGTTTTGTTGGTGTGGGGTTTTTTTTGTGTGTGTTTGTTTGCTTGTTTGGGTGTGTGTTTTGAGGTGGTTGTTTTTTTTTGGTGGGGGGCCTTTATTGAAAGGGGTGATGGGGATTGAATGGTTTGTTTTGGTTTCTTAGGTTTTTTTTTAGTATGTTGGGTTTTTTTTGAATTGTTTGCTCATTTTTAAGACACCTAAAAATAAGGATAGATCTCTGTTCAACTGATTGCTCAACAAAATATACCATGTTCACTTGAGCCCAGCAGTAGTAGTAAGTGAAATTATTTACTTTGCTACTTGGTGTTTTTTGTACTTTTTTTGTGTGTGCCACCTGTACATGTCTTTATTGTCAATTTTGTGTGCTCTCCGTTACCTACTGTCTCATGGAAAAGATGAGGCATAATGGGCACAAGTTACTCCTGGGGAGATTGTTACTCACAGTGAGAACAATCAACCATTGGAATGCTCTTGCCAGGGAAGTAGTGGATTCCCAAACACTGGATGATTTTAAGAGTTGGCTGGATAGTGTGCTGGGATGTCTAGTTTAGGTCATGCTTTGCCAAGAAACACTGGACTAGATTATCCTTGAGGTCCCTTCCAATTTGGTGTTCTGTGATTCTGTAATACGTTGGCAGAGCTGGAGACAGAGGAGTTAGGGCAAGGTGGGAAACTATCTCTCTGGAACAATGTGTTAATCTTTGCTTTCCTTTAGAGCTGCATGTTGAGGTCCATCACAGATTTTAATCCATTTATTATGTTGCTGCAGTGCTCTTGTTTTGTAATAAAGATGGCTTGAGGGTGCCAAGTAATAAAGTCTGAGATTCCCACTGAAAAACTGCATAGTGATTTATTTTGACAAGATCTATTTACCATGAAATCGTGACCAGTGATGTTAATTTTAATGTCATTTTCAATTCATTATTAGATGAGCCTTTTTTAGTTTTTCTAGTACTTCTTACTGGGAATGCTTTGACAAGCCTAAAATTGTATGGCTTTCAGGTTTTGGCACTCCCCCCTGTTCCCTGGGACCATTCCGCTCAGAATTGTCATATGCAGCAATACTAGACCAAATGAACAAAGCATACTATTGTTCAAAACTGCAGGTTGTTTAGACAGAGATGTACTCAGTCATTGTAATAAAAAAAAAAAAAATATTAAGTAATTTAGGATATTTTGAACTCAATTTACTTTTCCTGAAGAGTATTTCAGCAGTTCCTTTGCCTCGTGCATTTGATTTTTCTCTGCAATAATCTGATATTGATACTGACTGACAAGTCTGAGTAGTGAGGCTCCATCTTTTTTAAAGATTACAAGTGCTAATATTTTGTAAACCAAATTATTTGAAAAGGCTTGTTTAGCACCTTCACTAGAGAAGGAGTTCTCCCTATTTGACTTAAAGTGGAACCTTGATTACCAGTCTTCCTTTTGGTGGCATAATTTAACCTCTTAATTCAGCCCTCATAACTTGCTGCTCGTATCTGACACAGGCATTAGCATAAAACTAGTGTTACCACTAGATGGATCTGTTTCTTTAATAAGCCATTGACTACCACTTTCTAAAGAGAGAAATCTTTTAAGACTTCTCTGGGTGATATAAAGTACATTATCTAGCTGCTCTTTGATGACAACAGTTACTTGCAGGAAAGGCTATTTAAAGAAAGTGCTGCTGTTTTAATCTGGCAGTTTATACTGTTCTACTGCTTTCCACATATGGAATTAGTAAGAGATCTAGGATTCTGGTAAAAACGGTTTTGTGGTGGTTTAAAGGCTTTGGGTTGTTTTTTTTTAATTGCAGGATCAGCTCTAGTAACACCTCACCTAAGTTCCTATAGGTAATATGAAAAATTTATCAGAATTTTTCCTGCATAAATATGGATGCTTTGACCTGTGACAAATTTAAAAGTTACAGCTTCTGTAAATATTTTATACATGGTCATTAGTTTTTATATCTAAGAAAAAAAATAATTTATTGCCTTATAAACATTGAAAGCACATGAACATCTACTTTCTCGTACTCAAAACCATCAAACAGAATAGCGAGGCCATTACTAAAGTGTTTGTAACAAAAGCAAGCCTTAAATATGACATGCAAATGATGTTTTTAGAAGCAGCTCTTTATCAGTTCAAAGATGTGATGGTTGTACTTTCTTCAAAACTTTCATACACTAAGAAAAAAACAGTTTTGTATTTGATGCTTTGCTTTGTATCTGTATACCAGCAGACATAAACCCAAGAGATTCTCCCAGTCCAAAACTGACTAATTCTGATAGAGGCAAGGGAAGGGGACTTCTCTACAAAACAGGTGAGAGATGACCCAGTTTGGTGTTGGCCATGGTGAAGGTTGGTTTACAGATGCCCTTTCCTACAAAAAAAAAAAAGAAAATAATTAAAGTTGTTCATAGACATCTTGTATTCCACAAGAAGAAAAAAAAAACACCCAAACCAAGCAAAAAAAAAAAAAAGCAAAACCAAATAAACAAACAACTCCAAATTTCTTCTAAAAGCTTTCTTCATATGTAACATGGCACAAAAATCTATTAGATCTTCTATGATTACTGTTTTGTTTTTCTTTTTTCACAGACCACTACATTGCACACAGTTAAAACTTTATTTATTTAATTAGTATTCAATTTAAGTATGTCTTCAAATTTTTTTTTAATCCTTGTCCTTCAAAGAGATTCCTCTGCCCTCTGTTGCAGTTTATGTGCTTGGATTTCAGGCCATCCTGCCTGTAGGCTGTTCTCAGTGTTACTTGTTTTATTATCACAGTATGCAAAATTTGCAGTTTTGATCAACTGCAACTAGACATCTTACCAGTGTGTCTGAGCTTACCTTTATTAAGAGGCAACTCTTTTCTCTATGGGTGTTTCTCTCTAATGCTTATTTGCCAAAGCAGTTATACAGCATATAAGTTGCAGCTGTGCCTCAGATGATGGTGGTTTTTCTCCTAGTTCTGCAGATCTTCCAGCTGGTGCCCGAGACAGCTGTGTCTGTCTTTTAAGGTCATATTGCAAGTGTTTATTTACTTTTATTGGGCTGCTTTGTTTCTTGTTTGCTTCTGCTTATATAGCAGCAACTATTTTTTCTAGTTATTTTAATCAGTGTGGATGCATCTTAAGAAGCTTGTTTCACACTCTGATAACAAATAATCATAACTTTTTTGTGTTCTCAGTAACTGTCTTTACCATCAGCTTAGGCTTAGCAGTTTGCAGGTATTGCAGACAGAACTCATAGGTCTGAAGTTTTAGAAAACACAAGTGAAACAGAGTTTATTGTGGCATGTAACACAGTACAGCAAAATGGAGAAATATAAGAGGAGTATCAGTGTGTCATGTAGTGTGAACTGACCTTGAATTATCAATATATTGATTAAATGGATGCTAGTTAGTATTATAAGTCGTACGTGTGTTTCTAACCTGACAGTTCTGTGCAGTTGCAGCTGTCAGAGATAAAAAAGAAACAACAGTGTTAGGTTCTTTCTTAATTTCCAAACAAGCCGAAGTATTTGGGTTCAAGTTACTGCTTTTATTGCTGTTTTAAAAACAACTATTTTAACACAGGTGTGATGCTGCACAAAGACTGACAAATTAGACTTTCGCTAGGAAATCCATTGCAAATTAGTAATGGCAAAGGCAGAAGTATTGCCAGTATCTTGCGGTTTCTTCACTCCAGTTGCATTAACCTAATTGCATGTGATTGCACAGGTATGTAAGATTGGTTTGGTTTACGTAGTAGTCTGCAGGTGCTTTTTAGCTAGCTTGGCTGCCTATGGCACTATTGTATGGCATCAGCTACCAGAGCAAATTGCCAGAGCTTTTCTGGAGTACATAAGCTGCATGCATCAGTAGTACTTGATCCAGTGTTCTTGCTTGTAAATATTAAAATAGGTAAGGTTTCTGATTTAAATCTTCTAATGATATTTAATTGGTAATTTACATTTGAGAGGGGGATTTTGGTCAGGATTAATTAGTTTTAATTATTGGTTTATTGTGGAAATTTTGTTAAAATTTTGCAGACACTGTAGTTGATACCTGAAATAATTTCAATTCATTAACAGTAATGAATAAAAATATAAAAGTACAATGATACCTAATTGCAACAAGCTAGATAACAATCTTTTATCTACAGGTAGCTTAAATTATTTGTAGGAGTACAACTTGGATAATACATATTCTTCTGGATTTTGAGAAGATTTTCTGTTTAAAAATCAAAACAAAACAATTTACTCTTCAGCAATACATATGTAGGTGTTTAAGTGCAGGACATTCCCTGTACTGGTATGCTTTGTATTCTTAAAGTTTGACATATGTGTAGGTATTGCTTAGATGAGGCTGCATGGAGTGGTTGTAGGTCACTGTTTGCCTGCCATAGTTATGGTATTTGCAAGTTGTTTTAGATGTGGGAAAGTTCTTTGTTTTCTCCCCATTAAATTATTTAAACTAGGTAAATGTCTTTACTTTTCATTTAAGTGTTAAAGCTGTAATTTTAGTTCTACAGCATACAACTACACTAGAGTTTCAGGGTGACATGTAGTAGACAAGGTGTCTGCTATATTATTGAGGGCTTATTATATGACATGCATGGAAACTCCCCTGCTTTTGTGCAACATCAGTTTAAGGAGGATGCACAGGAGAGCTGTCATTAAAAATGTAAGCATAATGGTTTAGTAAAATGCAGGTTACTATTCAGACTGCAGAGTGATTCAAGTTTTTCTCAATTCTGACATGGACTTTACATAAAGTAAAGGCCAGAGGTTTCTTCTAAACAACTGTGTAGTGGCTAGAGTTGCATACAACTGCTAATTTTCACCTCACAAGTGGTGAGTAAGGATAATAATTTTCTGTCTGCAAAATCTACTTTTAGTTTTAAAAAAACTCAAGTGCTTTACCTAAAAATACTGGTCTTTCTCTAGCTATGTAGTTTACTTCCATGTAGTCATTCAGCTATTAGCTGAAGATTCTTAATAGCCTGTTTCTCATGATGTCCATCTTCTCCTGTGTATCTTTGTTCATGGGTGATCAAGTAGAGTTTGGCATGCCCAACTTGTCACTCCATTCGTACAATTGGCATTTGTGCTTCTGTTTTGCCCAGGGCTAATCACAAAATCATAGAATCATTTAGTTTGGAAAAGATCTTAAAGATCATAAAGTCCATTTAACCCAGCACTGCCAAGTCCATCCCTAAACCATATCCCCAAGTGCCATATCTACATGTCTTTTAAATAACTCCAGGGGTAGTGACTCAACCACATCCCTGGGCAGCCTGTTCCAATGCTTGACAACCCTTTTGGTGAAGAAATTTTTCCTAATAGCCATCTAAATTTCCCCTGGCACCACTTGAGGCTGTTCCCTCTCATCCTATCACTTCTTACTTGAGAGAAGAGACAGGCACCTACCACACTCCATCCTCCTTTCAGGTAGTTGTAGAAGGTTTCTCCTCTGCCTCCTTCTCTCCAGGGTAAAGAACGTCAGTTCTCGCAGCTGTTCCTCCTAGTATGTGTGCTCCAGACCCTTCATCAGCTTCGTTGCCCTTTTCTGGACCCACTCCATTAACTCAATATCCTCTTTTTCAGTTCTCTTCCCCTCACTATGCAGTATTTGATGTGCAGCTTCACCAGTGCCAAGTACAGGGAGACAATCCTTCTCTAGTCCTGCTGAACCAGGATGCTATTGGCTAATTTGCCTACCTGAGCACACTGTGTGCTGGCTCCTATTCAGCCATCTGTCAACCAGCACATACAGGTCCTTTTCTGCTGGTAAGCTTTTCAACTACTCTTCCCCAAGCCTGTTGCCTGGGGGAAGTTGCTTGGGTTTTTTGTAATTCAAGTGTAGGACCTGACACTTTGCCTTATTGAACCTCATATAGTTGGCCTTGGCCTATTGATCCAGCTTGACCAGATCCCTCTGTAGACCCTTCCTACTCTCAAGCAGATCAACACTCCCACCCACCACCCCAGCATTCCTGGACTCCTTTGCCCTTCAGGGCTGTCTCCCAAGGGACTTCGTCAGTCAGGCCCTTAAACAGCCCAAAGACTGTCCAAGGTAGTAGTTCTACTGATCCTACTCCTTATTCTCCAAGAATAAAAACCTATCATTTTGTGATTGCTGTGCCCAAGATGTTCCTCAGCCATCACATCACTCCCAAGTCCTTCTCTGTTCTCAAACAACAGGTTCAGTGTAGTGTCTTCCCTAGTTGGCTCCCCAGCCACCTCTGTCAGGAAGTTATCTTACACTTGAAGAACCTCCTAGACTGTTTCCTGCAGGCTCCTGGTGGTTCTCTTGGCTGTGCCTGAGGTTTCCCCAGTCTGGGAAATCTCCCTGTGCACTGTGCTCTAGAGTACTTTGCTTCAAATTGTGTCAGCACTGGAGCTGCTCTCCTTTGCCTTGGAATGGTAACGTGTCAAGCACTAATTACCTATCTACAGTTCCTAGGAGGTGCAAACAGTGAAGCAGTAATAAAATCAGGTATGACAGTGCTATTTAAATGATTTTCAAAATTCCTCTGAATATTTGCTTTAATGTAGGTTAATGATAGTATGTATGGTCAAGGCTGTCAAAGGGGCCTGGCATGACAGGCTTTGCCTCAGTGTTTCAGCTGTTAATCATCAGGTAGTCTGCTGTGGGAGAAAAAAAAGGACAGCTATATATTTCAATACTATTTAAAATCTGCATGCCACTTTTAGGGTAATATCTCATGTATCTCTAGAGGAGGTAATGAAGTTGCAAATTGTCTAATCATTCTAATGCATGCATATTGCAATTCTGTTTGGCAAATCTGCAATCAAGCCATTGATTTGGTTTAGCTAATGCTAGCTAATCATGAAGGGTTAGAATTTCAGCTGTGACTGATAGGCTCTGCAAGCAGCTTTCTGTGGATGACAGATTGGTAAAAGCAAGAAGCTGTGAGAACAATGCTGTGCTTTCCTACTTTGCACTGCAGTGTTACTATTTAAGTTGATTTAAATGATCCCAGCTGGCTGCTACCAGAGATAATCCATCTGTGAACCTGTGATCGTAAGAATGGTGTTACTTAGCGCCTAGTGCAGGTGTCCTGAGGAAATGAAGGTCTGCCAGGTGACTTGCCTTAGAGATTCCCATATAAGCACTGTCAAACAAACGGAAAGGTTTTTGTTGTAAGGAACCACGGTGGATTTAGGTAGGTAAGCGCATGGTGTGGTTGTGCTGCTTTGAGTAGCTCTGTTGCTATGCTTTCCTTAAGGAACACCAAGGATTCATGGCAATGCATACCCAACAGCAAATCTGTAAGACAGAATTTACTGTGACCTTTGACGATATCTCTGTCGACTGTACTTCTTAGGCTGCTTGGTTTCATGTTGCTTTAAACTGTTACTTAATGTGTGCT